AGTGCCTGGGGTAACATTGTATCTTTACATAATAGACGGAATCATACACATAAAGAGTGATATGACGTTAGTGTCCAAAACAAAACAGTTGAGGCGACGTAGCGATTGAAGCCACCCATCTACTGTGAATAGAATCAAATGTAATTTTACTGCCATTATGTCTGTTATGTGAACATATATAGTAACCGCTCGATTTTGATGATTACAGTGACTTTCAGTGTCCCACATTTGAAACTGAATACTGACCGAATTGTGATTTTTAACAAATAAAAATGAAATCTCTCTAAATATACATCCAAAAATCGTTGACAAAACACTATAAATTTGCTTTTATTTTTATTACTGAGTCAACACATAAACAACATTTCTAACCATGGAACACTTGTTCTACCAGCCCAGATTAATTTAGCCAAGGAAAATAGCAAATAAAACATGATAACCATGTTTCTTTTGGTTTACACACGTGTCACTCTTGAAAAAAAGGTGAATCTTCAAATACGTTCCCATAAAGGTATACCAATTGATTCAATCAAAAATATTGTTTTTGTTCCAGTAGTTTTCGAAGAAATTTCAAGAGTTTACGTTTGTGGATGGACAACGCCATCGCGCCCTCTATCGGCATATACCGCGTACTGCGAAAGGAAAGTTGTGTTTTTTCGGTCTTGTTGGACGGTTTCCTTCAGTTTTTTCTGCCACCATAGTTTACAATATTTCGCGTTAGGATGACGTCAGCGAGGTATCTTTTTTTTAAAAGTGCAGTGGTCGTCGCGCAGCGCAAGTTCAAATTTCATGTAATTAGATTACGTAATTAATGGTTTGTTTGTTTGTTGCAAATTACAATATACATAAATGTAGTTTTCTTCAAATTATGGAGAATGTCAGTTAAACGGCCCAGGAGATAATTTAAAGGGCGGCAGTCGTCGCGCGCGTCCTCTTCGATATAGGACTCATAGCGACGTATACAACGCGTGTAAAATACATTGTTTATTTACATGAAATTCGAACACGCGCTGCGCGACGACCACCGCGCTTTAAATATATTTATAGTGAACAAATACCCTGAACTGAGATACAGATATAAAGATAATTCAGGTTTTCTCGTAATATTTGTGACCAGAATCGCTTTTTAAAACCATTAACCGTTTCTAATTAATGTCAAGTACTTTTTATAGGAAAAACCATTCAGTGCTGTTAAAAAAAGAAATTGCAAAATATCATCCACCACATTCAAATCACGTACTCTTACCTCGTATTGCACGAGACTTGACGTGACCTCAAAACTGCGCAGACGAATGCGCAGTGGTCCCTTCGCCGGTAAGTTCACATGTGTGAGTTGCGAGCAAGTTTCGCCATCAGGAATTAGCTTGCATGTGTATTTTCCAGTGATCAACCCTAATTTTTGTGCGAAGGGAGCTCTGACTAAGACTTAGTATCAACTGTCGATCGCTGAAACTTGCAGTATCGTGTTGCCTTTTCCGTGATATACAGTAAGTAAATCATCACCTCACGTATTTTCCGGGTGTCCATCCAATGAATCATGTACTGTGGCTGACGTAACATATGTGTGTATAGATATAATGCGGTTGACAATTGTACTTTCATTTCGTATACTGATCCATCAGCTGACAATCTATGGCCCTAAAAATCGAGTGAGGTGTGTAAACAGTCACATCT